TACGAGACGATCCATAACATCAGTGCTTACATGTGCGACTCAACGACAACATTCCGAGATGGCATGAGATGGTGGAACATGTCTGTCCAATGGTGGCTCAAGAACTTCATCTATGTCCGATGTCCCCTCAGAGCATGGAGGTGAGTTAAAGGGATCGACTGCTGATTTATCGCAATCTCTTAGGTTTAGTACAGGAACTGCCCAGTTCCGTAGGCAATGGGTTAAAGCTAAAGACCAGTTATGGTCATGCGATTGCATTGTGAAAGAAACGTTGTGAAATCGATCAGAAAAGGTTGATCATCTAGCATAGATGTACTGCAAGGTTCTGGAATCATCAAAATGATAAGAAATTTGGCCAAGTCTTCATAAAGTTAGAAGCACTGTACACAGAAAGATGTATATGGGACGCGTGCATTTCATATCTCTCAACAGGCGAGAGATACACTAATTTACCAAATATATCAATTAGTAGGCGGTTTCCCGTCAAAATTTTTATTATCATGTAATATTCAAAACATATTCTTTCACATGATTGGTAATAAGAGCTTCCATTTCATTTTTTGAAATTGGGGCGTTTCCAATACTGGTCTTTAGCTTTAAGTTTTTTTAGGACAAAGTCACCCATTCTTCATTCAAGGATTTGACTAGTGTGAGCGAAATACAGGTATCTACATTACAATTGCATTAGCTCTGTTGAAATATTCTCAAAATGTCCAGAGATATGTTGATTTTTAAAAATAATTTGTTCTTGATGTATATTGAACCAGAGACATAAAGTAGCTGTTTAAGATGTAGATGGGCAAGTCCGAGGTATTCAGCCATGTGATGTACCACCTGTTACCAAGTATTATCAAAAGGATCATTTTATTTGAAAGGCCTGACATTGACAATAAATATAAACATCAGATATACTAAAATCCTAGATACATTTATGGTCAGCAATACATACAGTGTAGGCCATATACCTTGGACCTTGGAGTTATCATGTAACTAGCATATAAACCAAAAACAACTTGTGAATTTTCAATTAAGTGTCAAGCACATGAAATAAACATGGCAGCAATAAAGTAAAGGAGGACTGTTCATGCCTCAGCCGCAGAATGAGTATCGAAGCACACCACTATCCGTATCACAGTACAATTTGCGAGACATCCAACTCACGTTTTAATTCTTTATTCAGCACCTCTGCTACCATGCTGGTGAGTGCATTCTGGCACGGCATCCACCCAGGTTACTACCTGAGCTTCCTCACCGTCCCCCTGGTCCTATGGGCCGAAGACCTCCTCATCAAGGCCTTCCGCAGCGAGCAGAACAAGATCACCTTCGACTGGATCAACTGGTTCCTGCGGATGAGGGCGTTTGATTACCTAGCCTGCGGTTTTCTTCTCCTCAGCTGGGAGGCTGTGACTGGGTACTGGGCGTCGACTTACTTCATCGTACACGTGGTGACGTTTATAGGCATCGCGATAGGGCTGCAGAATCTACCAAAGTCGAGGAGGAAAGCGGAAGATTCGGGTAGGGCTGGTGTTGAGGGTTCTTCCTCAACAAATTCTGAAAGGAATTGACCAGGTATATTTTTCTATCAAAGATTTAGCTTCATATGTATTTATAATATTGTTTATCAGTGCAGTATTAGTTAACATTGATAACAAACTAAGGGCAGTGTCATTTCCATTTAATGGACGCTTTCTATTGATGCCAACCTGAGTATATCGTGTCCTAATCATCATTATTTTAGGGTCTGTAAGACCAAGAGATATTCGTTATCTCACAACTCCTCACAAATTCAATTTATGTTAAGATTCAATGTAGTCATCATTCAAATATTACAATTCTGTGACCAACCTTTGCACTTTCGATTCCAGTGGACTATGAATCAGGAATTATATTTTTGTATATAGGGATTGAAATATTTCTCTTTGTCAATACCAATGTGTAATATTATTCAGGCTTGTATGTACTGTGGCTGACTTCCTGCAAGCCTAAGATAAGATCATTTTCATCATTGAGTAATAATGATAATCATGATAATCAAAGTGTTAATTAGCCTTGCATAACACACATATTTATCTGCTATAATGCCTTTGTAGATCTATTCCTTGCCTTATGTGCATATGCATACCCATTCCTGCTCTTGACAACTTGTACTCGCTCGAGGTATTACTTCATTCAGTAGCGATTAGGTTTTTTGGTGTTCAATACTGACTAACATTGTTTTGATTACCAAATCCTTGATTATTTTTTACCAGGGGAAGGGGGGTATAAAGTGGCTCATTCTTTTAAAGGCAATTTTTTAGATGTGTGTAGAGAAAACTTTGAACCCAAAGGAACATGCACCATCCTCTATTGCTCAATAGAAGATTTGCTAATGGACTTTTAAACAAACTTTACTTCCTGTACTTATTGCCCTTTTTCCTAGAATTCCGCATAGTTCTACTTTTAGGTCAGTGTTTGAGAATATTGTGCATTTGAATGTTTGCCACATAGCCACAGCTGCTGCTTTGGGCACAGCCGATGTAGCGACTTACCGTGGCAACCTCTACACGTTGTGTGGTCCCTATCGTGAAATATTGATCGCTTGGCGAAGAAGTTTAAAGCTATACACACTCCCAATGCCTTGCTCAGGGCTTTTCTCCTTGAAGTTTTTCTCTCCAGATCTTCACCATTTAACATTGCACACATTCTCCTCTCGTCATCTTGATCAATCTGTACTTTTTTTTTCTCTGAAAGATGAAGAGATGGATCTATTTTGTCTGGGTCATTCCTCCCACCATCTTCATTGGCAGCTGCCATTTTGAAGACTTTTGAAGAAATTTTGCGCATACCCCAAATTTATTGCAAATTTGCAATTGATTGCAAGACTTGAGCTAGATTGTTGCACTTAATAACAGCTTGATATCGAGCGCAACTCTCTCTTGCAACCGGATTGATCATAATTTGCTATCAATTGCAAATGTAAAAACTTATCGCAAGACTTACGCTTGATTTTGGAGATTTGCAATTAATGGCAATTTTCTTGCAACACCCCATAAGACTTGTGTTACACAGACCTTCTATGCCTGCGCCGGTTCAATTAATTAAAGATTAGTAAATACGGAGATGCATTAAAATACATAAGTCTGAGACATATATTTTGTGCCAATGATTCCAAAGAGGTATTTATTAGTATTCAGTGTCAAAGGTACACCGATAATAAATTTCCAGTGTGACAATTGGCATTTTCGATTTCAAACAAAAAATTCTTACAAAATAGCTTACATGCAAAGCTTTACAATGTGTTGTACAGGTATACAATAAATGATAGAGAAGAAGCAAAGTAAACTACACTGTACGGTAGAAAAATATCAAGGAATAGAAGAAAAGAATACCGGTAGATGTTCATATAAAGTACAAATGATAAAACATGAGCCGTCCTTCAATAAGTACTAAATACATTTGACCAGGCAGAGGGCGTTGCCTGAACAACTGACAGCAGTCCCAACTCTTGTCCCGAGGGAAATTGAAGTGGAACCATGGTGGAACTCTGTTAAGATACAAAATCAAGGCAGGTCTTAGAAAGCTGCAACATAGTTAACTTCTGGGGGAAGTTACATTACATGTCTATCTGCCTTGAAGTCGAAACTTGCTCTCAAAGGGAGAACCAATCTTCTTCCCAAACCAGGTAAACAAACCCACCATTCCCTTCCCCATGACAAAGGAGTACCAGTAAATGTACCCACTGGTCATTCATGATCTATGTATTCTCCAAATTAAGGAGGGGTCTGGGTTTAAGACATAAGCAAGTTCTATAGAACAGGGGTCTCTTTGTTCCTGTCTTTGTTTCACCAGTGGCATATACCAGAGAGGTGGGCTAAACATACGCATGATTTAAAGTGACAATTCAAAGAGGGGTTCAACAATTTAAAGTAATATAGGCTTACTCAAAAATAGAAAATACTTTGTTAAAACACAGGGTCTGACACTCTCCCTTCCTAGAATCATGGCGTCCCGCCATCCTTAATTACAAGTCAATACAATAATACATTTCCGCAGACTTCAGAGGACAGAGAGAGATTGACCAATCTCCTACTTTCTTACCAAGATGGCAAGATGTATTCTCTGTAGATAACCTCAATATTGGGTGCACCTCTTCAGTCAAACACTGCATCCAACTATCAGACGACACTCCCTTTCCAGAGAGCTGCCAAAGGATTCTTTCTACCACTTCATTCTTAGGTAGAATGACCTTCACCCTGAAAGGTGGTGGCAGTTCAAGGATTTCATAGGTTTGGTGCTCACTTGTTGAATAAAACTTGTAAAATAAAAATAATCGGTGCCAGCGTTGTCGTTTCTGACTTAACGCAAGCCTAAGTGTCAGTGTGAAAGTGCAGATGGGCCTCGATGTATCCAATGTATGGAACTTTGCTTCCACCTGCACCAACCACGAACAGGTCGTCAACGGGTTCCAAGTGACAATGCGCTAACTTCTTGTGATCAAAATCAGCAGATATGCATGTCACTTGGGACCCAGTGCTTAAATAATCATCAATACATTCACTATCATCATTTCAACATAAATATTTCTATTATTATGATCTTGGCATACATTACCTGTTGCATTCCACTAGGACTTGTACTTCAGGGTCCTCTGCTTTGATATCCACCCATTTCCTCGTCACCTCCTCTGCCTCCCTCATGTTTTATTCAGATTTGAATGTAAACAACCATTATTTTGCCATTCCTCTTCATGACTTATATACAAGATCCCAAAAAAGGAAAACTCAGCTGTGTATAATTACACAATGCTCCACAGGGAATGCCATATATAACATTTAACTTATTAGGAACTATATGTGGAGAAATTAGGTGTTATACACAGGATATTTCCCAGATCTATCTTTAAATAATTCTCTCAATCACAGAGTGAAATATTACATTTGGGTAAACACATTGATGAAAAATTGCAAAACGTCTTGGCATGGGGGTAAGGGATTAACCGGGGCATTAAAGGCATTAGGAAATCAAGGCATAACTAGGCACGCAAACCCAGAGTATAGTCTCTGGGCATTCTCTGTGGAGACCTTCATCACCGCCCTGAAATGCTGCCCCCAAATTTGGGATACCAGTCGGCCAACATCCTCTAACAAGTAGGGGGTGTTGACCGACGCACCCGGGAACATGGGCAAGTACGGGGAATCAGTCTCCAAGAGGAGCCAGGGGGAGGGAATACTTCGGACCATGTCCACTTGGGCCGGATTAAATGAAAGGGCTAGGCCCGACACTCCGTCGTACACATTCTGGAAGGCAACCATCCATGCATCCAGTTCTTGGGCATCACCAGTGAAATTGTGGATGTGGATGTGCTCTTGATGCCCACAAAACTGCCTCAGAAGGTCCCTGAACTCTCCGTGCAGGTGATGGCCACACGGATCGCCCTGGGCCGGTCGTAGGTGTAGAACCAGTACCATATTGCGGCAACCTAAACCCAGAACCCTTCTTACAAAATCCCACTGCCTGGGCCACTCGGCCTGGGGGACACAAAAGTAATCTATGCCTTGCTCACTAACCGCAGTAACCCTGGGACATGCAAAGAGACACTTCAACTTATCCCAGCCGTCATCCGTGAGCATGGAGACATACTTAAGATGAACCCCGACGGCTATATGAAAAAGGAAGAGAACTGGAATAAGTCAGAGTGCCTGGTCGAAATGCCGCGGTTTGCAGAAATTCACCACCCCACCAACAAGCTTCATGTGTGAAGCTATTGTTCATCTCTTTCTCGACCGGCACTTTCCACTTGAAATTGGAGGACCTTTGTACTACATATTCTACATAAGCTCCTTCCCAAAGTTGTTATACAATATGATGCAAAATCCTTCTTCAGTCCTTCTTGTGGACAGTTTAGAAGATCTAGGCTTTGACCCTCACTTTGTGGCTGAAATTTAATTGGTGAACCTACTGTTCATACCTTTCTCAACCGGCACTTCCCACTTGAAATTGGAGGACTGTTGTACTACATAATCTACATAAGCTCCTTCCCAAAGTTGTAATACAATATGATGCAAAATCCTTTTTTAGTCGTTCTTGTGGTGGACAGTTTAGAAGATCTAGGCTTTGACCCTCACTTTGCGCCAAGAAATTTTATTTATGAACCTACTGTTCATCTCTTTCTCAACCGGCACTTCCCACTTGAAATCGGAGCACTTTCGTACTAAATAATCTACATAAGTTCCTACTGTTGATTCCAGCTATGAGAACAACCGGCAACGATGCTTTTGCATATCCCGATGGCATGGCTGTTGGGTATAATCTGAATCTGCCCACGTCCGACCTTCTTATCAATGTCCAAGACTGTGGTTATATTCGCCAAAATGGTCAGCCTCTTACTTTTGCTACAACAGGCAATTCTGAATCCAGTTCTTGCAAGAGGTTGGTTTGAATAGGTTGATATGACATAGTCCTCATATTGTTGGAGACTCCAATTCCTCTGCAAATGCACCTTGCCCTCGGGTCTCTCGGCGGCTCCAGTATTCTATCACGTTGCCCTGAAGTTTTAAAACTGGTTGTTGGAGATAGACCTCCAATTCGTGGACAATTGACTTGCGAATTTCGCTCGATCTTGCAGAGGCAGGTCCTTTGTTTTCGGAGCTGGATGAGGTGGACTCCATCATGGCAGCCTCCATTGCTGACATCAAGCTTGGCCAGCTGCTGTCTGTTGGTCTCGTGCTGGAGAGTCTGGGCCAGAGTCTACTGAGATGACATCTTCATCATCCATCGTCTCCGTCTCAGAAAGCCCAAGAACTGATGTATAAATGGCCTCCTTGATTTTGGTTCGAAATACCTCATCCCTGAGAGCTTCTACGGCATCCCTTTGTCGAATGATGCTCTCCAACATGCCCAGAGTTGAATTCCATCTTGTTTCAACATCTCTTGTTAATTTGATCAAAACTCCGCTTGACCGGCAGCGAGTTGTTGATCTTGGAAACCAATGTACGCAAAACCGAAATTGGGTCTCTCACAAAGCGTTGGGTGTCCATACCTTGCTTTGTCGTCAGGTTCAGACAGTGGGCGATGCACGGCACCCACCCCCTTATAGTTTTTTTCTGTCGTGAAGATGATCAGGGACCGACGGATGTTGGCTCCATTGTCGCTTGTAGCAAAGAGAAGCATGTTCTCTTTTTATACAAGAAATCGAATGAGGAAAAAAAAACGCATTTAGAATTTTTGATATTATTTGGCCAGGCTTAAATCATTTTTGAACTATTTTACACTGCAATCAGAATGATATAACACGATATATAATGTAATGAAATAACCGAATAAGATCCAAGACTACAAGTTGAATGACGAACGTAATGAACGAAAAGGGGGAGATCCCGAAGATGAAATTATTACTTACCATTTCATCCTTGAGAGTTGCCCAGTGGAAAGTCACCACCATGTACTCTTTGTTCTGTTGGGACCTCTACATGTCGGTGGTGAAACTAATGCCGTGAAGAGCTTTTGAAAGTTTGGCTTTCAGAGCCTCCTTCACTTCAGAGTACTTGTCGGGTATCACCTGTTCCGAAAAAAAACATCTTGATGGGATTTTATACCTCGGATCCATCGTTGTGAGAAGCCCTCTGAAGCCGTCATTCTCCACAACAGAATACGGCCTCAAATCGACAGCTATCATCTTCCTGATTGAGCGGTGGACGGATGTCGCCCTTTCGCTGTCACTGGGGTATTGGTTCTGCCTAGCAACGGGCTGTTGGAGGTTGGGTTGAGCCGCTGGAGCTCCCGCTTGGGCTTGACGATCTGCTAGAGCTGGTCCCCCTCCTCCACCTCTCACCAGTGCTGCTGGAGATGTCTCGAGAGGGCAGATCCTTTTTACTGTCTCGTCACTACAGTCATTAATTGATCTAGGATATGTGTACATCAGTGAATAACCTTGATGGCCATCGCGACCGCATCTGCCCACTTCTTGCCAGTAAGCAAGCATTGATTCTACTCCCCAGTTCACGACAACATCAACGCCGTGAACCTGTATACCTAGGCCAAAGGCCACTGTTGCCACCACTACTATGATGGTACCTTCGGGGAATTCCGTTCGTATTCTTTTCACATCTTCTTCCTCTGTCTTGCTGTGGATCTTGTCTACCATCCTATTTGTCCTTTTCACCTCCTCTGCATATGCATGGCTGTCAAGTTCTGACATCAGCCACATATATATATATATATGTTCACATTGCCTCATATTTACAGTGTATATTTACAAAGTAGCCGGAGACATGTTTTCGGGTTGTCCGTCCATACATCTGTACGTCTGTCTCTTCTATCTTTGTGCAAGTCTTCTATGCATGCAACCTCGACCTGTTGTCTCTCTATTGCACCTCTTCCTCTCCTCATGCCTCTTCCCCGACGACCTCCTTCGCCAGTTCCTTCGATGTCTACTTCGTGGCTTTCTGTTCCTTGGCCTTCTAGTTCTAGAACACCTTGACTTGTATCGACCCTGCCTGTCCCTCTGAAGATGACGCTGCTTCCTCTTCCTCGTCCTATACCTATACCTGTTACTGCTCCTCTTCCTGCTCCTGTTCCTACTTCACTTGTTCCTGCTCTTCCTCTCCACGGGCTCCACTTACCCTTCCCCGTCCAACTCCTTGTCCCATGACTCCTGCTTTGTGGCCTCTCCACTTCATGGCCCGAATTCACAAAGCAAGGTCTGAGCTCAAACCTTGCTTTGTGAATTCGGGCCCATGTGTTGAGATTGCCGAATCCGGCGCTGACTCCATCAGAACTTTCCGAAGATTCCTCAGTAAGCTGTATACGAATAGAACAGAAATGCAGCAAAAAGAAAGATGCAAAATATTGGTTAGATTTGTTTTTTCATTACTAATCTTGCGGCTTTTTCAATGATAAATTGTATTTTGTAACAAATCATAATTATCTCGCCTAATTGGACATAATATTTCAAACATCCTTGTTACAAAGTTTCAAACAATCTGCAGAAATTGATATTTACAGCATGATAAAGAAAAAGAGAAAAGAAAATGAAATGGCAATGAAATCGCTAGGTGGTGGGGGGAGAGCACATGTTTTTAATGACATGAAGGTGCCGCCTCTTTTGCTCTTCACATATTTCATGAGGTCAAAATGACACAAGGGAGTCTTGCGATAAATGATCCTGATCGTATTCGCGGGTTTGCCTTCATTTTCAGAAAATTGACAAATAGTACACCATAATACCGACTAGGCAGTCTGGACATTGTCAAATTAGACTAAATAGAAAAAGATATGAGGAAACACTTGCTTTTATCTTACTTTTATCTTACTTACTTTGGATTAGATTAGAGTTCTGTTCAGAGTATGGGCATTTCACTTCCACGATTTATTAACCACGAAATGGAGTAGTACATTTATGTGGTGTAGGTAAACAAATTTCAGGGTTACACGTGTATTTCTTTCAAAGGATTAAGAGCATGGAATAGTAGACGTAACTTTAGGAAAAAACCTAAATTTTTACGCTAATGGATGCCCATAGGAAAACCCATTGAAGTGTGCTAAGATAGCAGAGTTTCATGAATACCAGGTCTATTTGAGGGATAAGCAGAAAAGCAGACTCTTTAGTGAGAACGAGAAATAAGATGTAAATTATACGTCTCTGGCCGAGCCAAGCACTACTAACCATCAAGAGACAAATACTAACCAGCATCACTTCCTGAATCACTCGATAAAGATTTGCTAAATCTCTGGGGAAGATGTCTCTTTCGTTTCTGCACAGCATCATCTTTCAATTCCAGGTTTGACGTGTCCTCTGCCTTCCTGGCGTTGTTTTGCACTTTCACATAGTTGCCTTTCCCCCAACACCATGATCATCCGTCATATTCTCCTCCTCTTCACTGCCCACCCCCGCCTCGTTCACTTCCCCTTCCCCTTCCCCAACACCATCATCATCCGTCATATTCTCCTCTTCACTACCCACCCCCGCCCTGTTCACTTCCCCTTCCCCTTCCCCAACACTATTCGTTGGGTCCTCTATGGCGTCTTGGTCCTCTGTGTCCTCCTTGCCTCTTGTGAACAAGCCGGTACTTGACAGGATCTTTGCCTCATCAAAAGACGAGTCAAAGAACAAATATAATTTAAAGTAATAAATTACCATTCGTTCATTTGAGATTATCTTTTTTGAGATTATCTTATTCAGGTAACCCTTTATTATTTGACTGACACGACAACATCAACATTGTGTACTTGAATGCCTAGGTCAAAGGCCACTGTTGCCACCACTACTCTGATGATACCTTTCGAGGAATTCCGTCAGTATTCTTTTCACATCTTCTTCCTCTGTCTTGTTTCAAATCATGTTCACCATTCCACTTGCCCTTTCTCGTCCTAGTCCCATCACGCTGACTCCTGCTCCTACTGCACTTCCACATACACACCATTGTGGAATGTCATTTGGTCTCCCAGGGGATGGTGGTGGCGAGTCATTTCTTGCAGATGCCATCAAGTCCATAATGCGTCCTGGCTCCCTCTCGATTTGCCTGATAACAATGTCTTCAAGTTCTTGGCTTGACATATAGAGCGTAGAGGACTTGCATACTACAACAGCATTTGGGCTGGTTTCCACATTTCCATACTTATCCATTATAAGTAATGCACTATCTGTAACAGACAGTTTCTTTTGATTATTTCCTTCTACGTTTAATTTATTTTGAAGTGTTGTCTCCTTCTCTCTACCACACTGGATGGCAGCTGGCAAATGTTCCATTTGGTCACCCTGTAGTATATGTTTTGCTAGTGTTCCTCTTTCTTCTTTGCTTCATTGAATTGGGTAGTCAAAGTTAAATCTATACACATTGTTGAATCAAAACATTAATCCATACTCATGGATCAGTCTACAAACCATGATTGATATACTTCTATTTCAATCTGACTGTCTTGATTTATCTATACACCATATTCAATCTAAACTCAATAATAACAATAACAATAATGCATACTGAGTAATTACAGAATTCAATCAAGGGAATGTTTGTTGTCTAATCTTGGTTGAATGTAACTATTTTATGCTTCATGTCAGTGGTTTCTTTATAAGTCGTAGAGCTGCATCAGTATACATCCTCCATCAAGGAGGCAATATAACTATAATATATATAACTTCGGAACAGAATAGATTGTCTTGAACTCTTCAAGAAAGTCGGCTACATCCTTCTTGTACCTCTCAAAGCGATTGTTAGGAGCCTTCTGTCCACTAAATCATACAACTACTACTAAGTCATAATAAATTCAACCACTAATGCTCATCTGTCCTTGAACTTGAGAGTAATATGTACATGCTCCCGTCACAACAAACCAGTTCATTGTTAATAACTACACGTCCTCTTTTTAATGCAGCTTCCCTTGGATGAGAATCCTTGCCTGAGTATGGGCATTTCACTTCCACGAGCCATTGACCACGACATGGTGGTACAATACAAATGGACCTTCCTAACAAATTCCCACTGCTTGGGCCACTCGGCCTGGGGTACATTATAATAATCAATCCCCAGCTCACTGATGGCAGTGACCCGGCGACACGCCAGCAGGCATTCTAGCTTAGACCAGCCGTCGTCTATTAACAAGGGAACCCATTTGGGATGACCGGGAACGGTAATCCTGATCACCTCGCCTCGCGATGGCATCTTTCATTCGATCAAAGTTAAAATGACTGTCA